CAGATTCTCCAGCATCTGCAGTTCCTACTATCTCTCAGATAATTTATAAATAACGTTTTAATGGAGGAGGTGGCTAAAGGGGGAATTTCAGAGATCAGAGTGTAGGTAGCTGAAGGCATGGTTGACAAAGGAGCAGCAGTTAAAATGTGGACTGTGCAAGAGGCTAGAATTGGAGGAATGTAGATTTTGAAGGTTGCAAGGCTGGAGAAAGAGATTCATTTTTGCTTCCAATGTGAATAATGCAATATAAATGTAAATCTTAGTTTTATGGTTATTACTGCAATTTTTTTTGATGCTGTACAAGACGAGGCTAGTCAGCCTCAGGGAAAGTAGTAGTGTTTTCCAGTTTCTACTTTGTGAATAGCATTGCAAATATCCAGTTCAAGTAAAGGAGAGGTTTGACACAGACTACAGCTCTCTCAGAACTACTCCAAATATTGAATTTAATTCTCAGATATGAAGATTGTATTGCAGTAATTGTTTGATTTCCCACACCAGTTCTGTTCAGGCCTTTCTGATTTCACGTGCCAGCTTTTGTTTAATAGATTTGTTAATTTAGAAAAATTAATACACAGTATGATTGTTACATAAATAAGACTATCAAAAATTCACAAAAACAAATCAGCAAATGGTCAAGCGATTTTTGTCTTTGCTCAGAGAAAATATACCCTGAAGACTTTAAACATTAATGTGTTAAAGTTTCTGGCCTAAAACATCTAAATAAATAAGGAATAGTTAACAACAGAAAACAAAAATTATAAGTAAAAGGTAAATGAAACCAAGATTCTACATGGAATCAATCACACACTGAAAATGTCCACATTAAATCACAAAATATTTCAGAGCTACATTTTTTTGGATTACAGCTGTATGTTTGGAACATGGACAGTGCAACAAAGCAAGCCACAGCACGGGAACAAAAACAGAAATTGCTGGAAAAGCTCAGTAGGTCTGGCAGCATCTGTGAATAAAAAGTCAGAGTTAACATTTCGGGTCCAGTGGCCCTTCCTCAGAACGTTAACTCTGATATTTTCTTCACAGATGCTGCCAGATCTGCTGAACTTTTCCAGCAACTTCTGTTTTTGTTCCTGATTTACACCATCTGCAGTTCTTTTGGTTTTTATTAAGACACAGCACAGACCTATTTTGGTTTCAAGGGTCCTGTCACACTCAATTTTTAGTCCAGGTACACAGGTTCCCAGAAATAGGTCATAAGCTGCCCTGGAGGCAGCCGGGTTTGGAAGGATGGTGGCTACAACGCTGCAGTTCCCTAGAAATTCATCCCAATTGTTTTAGAAGTTTTTAGGCTCCCTAGCCCATAACCAACACACAAACACTCACCCCCCACCCACACGTAATACTACTTAATAACTACAAAGACCCCATCATCCCAACCTATGCCCCACACAAATGCATGCACCCACAAGGGCAATGCAACACAATACCACACACCCATTCTACCTTCATAGCCACTCAGCAGTATGCACAATGGGCAGATCTCAGGGATCAGATAGATAAAAATAGAGAAAGATTTCTAAAATCTAATAGGTTTTTACTTACTAACACTTAATACTACTGCAAACTCACCCATTCATGGAATTGTTTCAAAAATAAAATCCATTAAGTAACCACATCAAAGACAGGGAGTTATTTAAAACCTTTTCAAACTGTCAATTAAGATGTGAACTCAGCACTGATGAGCACCCTTGTAGTTTTATAACCTCAGCCGACATTCACAATTACCCTAGTTGCAATACTAGCAATTGGGAATAATCAATAAAGAACACTTCTTAAAAAAAAAAAGTAGGAATAAATGGTAATAGTTTTCTTCCTAGCCTACATCAGATAAACTATCAGTCTGGCGGAGTTGTTTCCTTTTAACACTAACTGACAGCTTTACCCTCATCTGTTCATGTTTAAAGGACCAGGGATTTAAAAAAAATTATATCAGGACACTGAAATCCCTCAACAGTATTTATGCCCACAAATCTGTGACTTCCATATCGTGAGTTCAGACCCTTGGAATGGCCAAAATGGGACCTGTTTAAATGCAGCACAAATTTCAACTTGCCCTGATGAATTCAAGTCTTCTGACTGCATAATTCAGACTCCTCCCATTTCGCTCAGCCGGAAACATACATACGATCATAAACATTAGGAGCTGGAATAGGCTTTCTGGCTCCTTGGAGTCTGTTCTGCAAAAGACAGTCTCCTTTAGGCCTGAAGTGCCAAAAATTTGATCTTTCAGAAATGGGGTAGGACCTCCATATCTGATTTGATTTGATTTACTATTGTCACATGTACCAAGGTACAGTGAAAAGTTTTGCTTTGCGTGCAGTACAAACAGATCATACCGTACAAAGTTCATAGGTTAACAGAATAGTGTGAGGAATACAATGTTACGGCTGCAGAAAAGGAGCACAAAGAGCAAGGTCAACTTTGAATTTAAAATTTGAGAGGTCCATTCAGAAGTCTAATAACAGTGGGAAAGAAGCTGTCCTTGAATCTGTTGTTACTCGTGTTTCAGCTTTTATATTATCTGCCCGATGAAAGAGGTTGAAAGAGATTATAACTGATGTTGGCGGGGTCTTTGATTATGTTGGTTGCCTTTCTGAGGCAGCAAGAAGTATAGATGGAGTCAGTGGATGGAAGGTTGGATTGCGTGATGGACTGGGCTGTATTCACAACTCTCTGTAGTTTCTTACAGTCCTGGGGGGACAGTTACCACACCAAGCTGTAATGCACCTGGATAGAACGCTTTCTATGGCGCGCCTATAAAAATTGGTAAGCATCTTTACGGACATGATGAATTTCCTTAAACTTCTGAGGAAGTAGAGGCGACGTTGCACTTTCTTGACCGGTGCATCAATGTTGTGGACCAGGACAGATAGTTGGTGATTCTAGGAACTTGACACTCTTGACCACCTCCACCTCAGCACCACTGACGTAGACAGGGGCATGCCCTCGACCTTGCTTCCAGAAGTCAATGATCAGCTCTTTCATTTTGCTGATGTTGAGTGAGAGATTGTTATCTTTACACCATGCCACTAAGTACTCTATCTCTTTCCTGTATTCTGTCTTGCCATTGTTTGAGATCTAGCCTACAATGGCGGCATCAAATTGTCAAACTTGTAAATGGAGTTAGGATGAAACTTGGCTATACTGTCATGACTGTATAGGGAGTATAGTATGACTATGCAGCCTTGCAGGGTGTCAGTGCTGAGGATTATCCTGGAGGAGATGTTGTTGCCTATTCTCACCGATTGATTTGTATCACGGTCATCATTTTCAAAGGTCTCTGTTGTCAATTCAACTGTACCAAAATATGGGTTATACATTTGATGAGCACTGAACTACCATTTCCTAGATTTCATGGAGCACAGGAAAGGGATAAAAGGGTTTGAAAGAGTATTAAAAACATGCGCCTTTTAAGAGTATTTTGACATTATTCTGCTGAGCCCCTTGCATCGTACACTATTTTTCACCTGAAATTAGTCAAAAACTGTTTGGAAACTCAGCTCAGTTTTACTGATTTGAGTCACTGATATGTAGTTAAGAGTGGCCTAAGAAAATTCTTCTTCACATGCTTATATTGCAGTGTTGTGGGGTTCGTCGCCAATTTTATTGTTGGATGTTGGAAACAACTTAATTACTTGAATCTAAAAATGAGAACTGTACAGATTTGACTAAATTCTTCATTTCACAACACAGCATTTCTAAAGCACTAATGTATCTTTCAGCCACCTTAAAAAAAACTATTTATTATCTGTAAAGGAAATATTTCTCAACATTGAGATGACTTCATTGTCAACTGACAAAGATTTCAATATGGGGTCTAAGCTCAAAGAATATTATTTTCTAAATCAGTTTTGAAATTATTGGTTTAAAAAATGCTATGAAGAAATGCAGCACCATATTAAACAATAATAATGCAAGGTTAAACAGTAAAATTGCATTCAACAAGAACGCTTCTATTATTTAAGGATGATTAATTGCAATTGCATCATTTAAGGTAATTGTGTCTTTTTTATATCAAATTGATTTTCTATACCTACAATCTAACTGATGTTCACCAACCTCGAGAAAAATTAATCCTATGTATTTACATATATAATCAAGATTATAAAACAATTCATAATTTCCCATGTGTGAGTTATCCTATTTGAACACTTTAAATAAAATTAGCTTTTTGCTACAAGTCACAATGCAAGCTCTAAAGAGGTAAAAAGCAGAAAGACTTAAAATCTGCAGTTTCTAACAGTGACAATGGTTCAACATAAACTGTGCTTAGTTAGTTAATTGGAAGCGCTGCTCAGAGACAATCAAAAGCAAAATTAATGACTGATCACACTGAGGTAGAAATCTTATGCTGCTTAAAGAACTCAAATTAATACATGTCTAAGAATAATAAATCGCTAAGAACAGACAATATTCCAGAGAGCCGACAGAAACCAGGCAGGAATTTGGAAGGCTGCGGCCATCATTCTGAGAGAACCACTAACACAATACACCAGGAACACGTTTGCTGTTACACCGCAATTGAGCTTCTCCTAAAGTCATCACAGAAGTTAAAGAATTCATAAAAGTACTCAATATTTCCTAAATCACCTGTCTTTTAGACCCAAGTTGACAGAAAGCCTGGACCAGGGTTTGGTACTTAAGAAGGATTACTATTTATTACAAATAAACAGATTCCAGTTACAGGTAAACAATTATGAACTGGCAGCATCTATTAAAACTGCATACCTGCATTATTCTGCTCTAATCGGTACTCTGTAGTACATTAGATATCTTAATAAAAGCACCTATAAAAGCATAGTGTACATTCCAAAACAGCAAAATTATAATAATTAAATCGTTTGCTTTATAAAAATATCTTAAGCAGGAGAACATGTGAAATTTCTTTGATTTTCAAGTAAATGTGATGTAGGAATTTTGCAATTATGTTTTTACAAATTTGAAGTTCCACTTCTTAATCAGATATCCCACCTTGTTTCCTCAGTGACCGCAAAAAAACCATCATCAGGGGCATCAATCCAGTTTGGCCGTTGTCTCTTGATTACAGGAATGGGTGCAGGCTGGGCAGCTTTGATTCCAGGCGACATTACTTTTCCATTAGGCAGGTATGAGAAATAATCAATGCTCTAAACAAATCACAAGGAATAAACCAAATTAAATTTGTTAATTTGCTATTGTTCGATTTTGATTAACATAGGTGATCAATATTTGACTTCCATCATCTGGTTTGAATATCTTAACATTGCATGGACTGAAATCATATCAGGAATAGAAAAGAAACACTTACTTAAAGATGGTCATAGTAATCAGCTGACCACAGGCTGAATCAAACTTCATAAAACCATCGATAAACCAGAACCAGTATGAACTAAAATTAACATTATTTTAACATGGGACTGAAACCAGACAGATGTGAAGAAACTTGCAATTCTCATTTAATTCACATCTTTATGAAAAGATCAAAATTTGGAGATCAATGAAAACATGCCTACAATTATCCAATTTTGGAGGCAATGAACCTGTACATAGACTACAGGAATGTATGGGATTGCAAGGAATTGTTTTGCAAAACAGGAAACTGATTTGTCTTAGAAGTCTACAGCACAGAAAAACAGCCATCAAGCCTGAGCTGGTCAAAACAAGCACTCAATTATTCTAAGATAACAAGGTGTAGAGCTGGATGAGCACAGCAGGCCAAACAGCATCAGAGGAGCAGGAAAGCTGACATTTCGGGTCGAGACTCTTATTCAGAAAATTATTCTAATTCCATTTTCCAGGGGAGCAGGGTTTGGTCTGGTCCATAACACCTTGGTACACAAGTGTACACCTACCTACTTTTTAAAATGTTGTGAGGATTTCTGCCTCTACTATCCTTACAAGCAGCAAGTTCCAGATTTCCAACACACACTAGGTTAAAAATAAAAATTCCTCACACTCTCCAAACCTCCTGCCCCACACCTTAAATCAATGCCCCCTAATCATTGATCCCTCATTGATCCCAAGGAGAAACGTTCCTTCCTATCTACCATTTCTATGCCCCTCATAATTTTATATTTCTCAATTAAATCCCCACTCAGAATCATCTGCTGCAAGGAAAACATCCCCAACTCTATCCAATCTCTCTTTTTAATAGAGCAATTCAGCCCAAGCAACATCCTGGTAAATCTCCGCTGCGCCCTATCCTGTGCAATCGCATCTCTCCTATAATACAGTTTCCAGAACTGCACACAATGCACTAGCTGTGGCCTAACCAACATTTAATACAGTTCCAGCACATCCTCCCTGCACTTAAACTCTCTACTTCAGCTAATAAAGGCAAGCATCCCATTTGCCTTATTAACCACCTTATTAATCGCTTTAATTCAAACCGAGAACTCAGAAGATATTTACAATACTAAAGACGGTCACAAATCTAGGAACCAACTCTGGTCTCAGGTTAAAATCAAATACAAGAACGCAGTGAAGACTTTAAACATCATATTCTTTTATCTTTTTTTTTGTACTGGACACAATTCCCTTTTAAACTTTGTATCCATGCTTGTGTGTTTGATCTTGCATCTTTGTTATTTTCCTCAAGATTTAAGTAATAAAATTGCTCCTTATTGCTTCTGGTTGACTACTTATCTAAATTTTAATTGGAATGAGATATAGCTGTGTGCTAAAAGAGACACAAAATCCAAGGAGGTTGAAAAAAAATCCTGTGGATCACATTTCCTTGAGATAATCAATTGGAGAAATGTAAGTTTTACATTTTCTTTGATATCTTTTGAAACTTAACAAAGAACAAAGCAGGCTCTAATATAGTTACTTTTGCATGCCTATTAAAGTGGAGCTTGAAAGGACTTCATCCATCTAAGAATACTCCATAGGTTACGTTAAAAACATTTTAGGATAGGAATTGTGATACATCTTCCAAATTTATGGGATCTTGAACGGACCTAAGAAGTCCAAATCATGAGTGCAATGTAATGTGCTGGATATGTAACAGAGGTGCAAGCTCTGTCAAATTGGTTGATGCAATTGTTAGACTCGCTCAATGGTCATCGTTTGCACTTATTTATTATTGGAGTCCTGTTTCTGAATCAGTGACCCTTCCTCAAACTGCGGCCCTTTATGTGCCTCAAACATAACTTCCTGTCTTCATCCAGTATATCACAGGAGAAACAAAAAATGAAAGAACTGCACATGCTGTAAATCAGGAGCAAAAACAAAGTTGCTGGAAAAGCTCAGCAGGTCTGCCAGCATCTGCGAATTTAAGAACAGAGTTAACATTTCGGGTCCAGTGACCCTTCCGTTCTGAGGAAGGACCACCGGACCCGAAACATTAACTCTGTTTTTTTCTTCACAGATGTTGCCAGACCTGCTGAGGTTTTCCAGCAACTTTGTTTTTGTTCATAGTAGAAACACGTGGGAGGAGCGTTTAGTAGCCATATCAAAGGAATTCTCAAGCAAATAAAGTAAAATCTCCATCAGTCCCACTAGGCCATGTGGGGTGGTTCGGCCAATATTTTTGGGGACTTTAGATGTGGTTTGGCTGACAAGTAATTTGGAAGATAGACTTTGTGGGGGGCAAAAACTGTTGTCTGAGTGTTCTTAATCATAATTCTTAAACATGGCATGCTGCTGGTCTTCCCATTCAAGCTCGAAAATGATGACATGGAGGAAAGGCAAAAGCAACTGGGAAAACAGCAAATATCCAAAGAGACAAAGAGGGATGGACACAGAAGCCACAGAGGTATTCAGAAACTGATCATCATACTTGGACTTACAGTACGTTACCAGTAATTGTAGAACTATAAAATTTATTCAATGTTTTTCTTAATCGTATATATTTGAAATGCTATTTTTAGAGCTGAAATTGTCAGGATCGTGCATCAAACCAATGCATGACATTTCAATGACTTGATAGATACTTGTAGGTGTTAAACGTATATTGATTGACAATTTAATTACATTCAGTTTGTGGGTAATAACTTGAGATTCACTTGTGCTTCTACATATCGGAGTAGACAGAAACCATGGATGTTGGGTTTCGGGGTGATATTTGTGATGTGTGCCTTTGCAAATAAATGTTTGTAAGTCTGTATATACAAGGCTCCACCTGACCTTCACTGCCTGGTTATCTGGATTTGGACAGCTCGAGCAAGCTCAGCAATTACTGATTTGGTAGCTTTCTGATGCTTGTTCATTCCTGTTGTTACTAATGGACTGCATCTTATTGTTTCTGATTTATTCATTTACTTAATTGGATATTTAACTGATAACTTTTCAACCAATATCTTGGCATTCAACATTTTCAAAATATGAGATGGCCATGCTAGATATGCAGCTTAAAATTAGATGAACTTAATCTACTAATGACTGGGCAAACACCAGAAGCAATACTGGGATTTGATATTTGCTCCAAATCAAAGAAAGAAAGTAGGATACCACTGGAAAGGTGATTATCCTACAATTCAACGGATGCTTCTCAGCTAAAGGTGTCGGTCAAGAACTGTTCTGGTTGCTTATTGTATAAACTTAACATTTTTGATACATTGAACAAAATTAAATAAATCAGAATAACCAAGGACTTAAACATACAGTTTGCGATAAATATCCAACAAAATTCACTTACCATTCCTTGTGCATGACTTGTAACATCTGAAAAATTTGATTAGCAGGTTAAAGGAAGTTTTAGTCACATCATTTGATAATACTCTGTAGTTTGTCATTCATATGAGATCGGCTATATTATAATTAAAGCAAAAATCCGTTCAAGGTTAATTAAACAATTACAAATCCGTAAAACCAAAAGTAAATGGAAAGCAAAATGCTGATTGACTCTGGTATACCACAAAGAAAAATAATAGATTTAAAGGTACAGATGATTAAATATTGAAGTATTACTTTCAACTTCATTTTAAAAGAAATCAACATACTCTAATTTTTTTGCATAAACATGTACAAGATAGAAATAGGAACAAACACACAGAAGTCATTTTCTTTTGATCAACCGTGAACTGCTACCATTATCTACAAAACAAAATGAAGTCCAGACCCATTTGTGAGTACAAGTAATTAACAATAATCTATGTACCAACTGCAGGATTTAAATCCCCTTCATTCTAACGTTATTATAATTTGAACAAAATAAATCTTGAACTGCTGGATTCAATCTACATTTAGGTTGATTAATTCCAAGCAGTGGGATTAATTTTAGATTATTATAGAACCTAATCAACATTATTTTCAAACCAAAGTGCAATACCCAATTACCGATGAATACAAAATAGAAGAGGTTTGAAGTGAATGGAAGGCAATGATTTCACAAAGGAATTCTGATGATAACTGAGACTACATGGGTGAAACTTAAATGATTAATAAACTTCCAAGTGAATCGAGGTAAGAATACAGCTTCAAAATCAGTGCATTATATTTAATCCTAATTAATATTATCATCTAACGGTTGGATTTTTTGCTCAGTGTTTGATCATTTTTTAAAAAAATAGCAGTAACTGCCATACTGAACTGTAACACAAAGTATAATGGAGATTATCAATGCTTGATTGCATCTACACTAAAGTACTAATGATGGCATAATGCTTATTAAATGAATCGGATATAATGGGCCAGCTATTACTAAAATCAAAGCATTTTGGTTAATTTGAATTAATAGCAACTCCACCACTGGATACAAATAAAAACGGAGCAGTAACATTTTGCAAGCACTTTTAGCAAAAAACTCACCAAGACTGTTATCGCAGTCCCCGCTCCCCCCCAGTCCTTCGCAGTCCCCCCAGCCAAACCTCTAATGTTTAGAGGGAACTCCAAATGCAGGCAAATGGGACAATTTCAGTTTAGGAAACCTGGTCGGCATGGATGAGTTGGGCTGAAGGGTCTGTTTTCATGCTGTATACCTCTGTGAATCTACTGGGGTATCAGAGCATACTGCCTTTACTTAACAAACACAAAATATCAGGATGAGTCAGAGATGACAAGCCATACTGAATTTTCCCTATCCCAAAATCAGAGACCCGTTCTGTGGAAGGGTCACCGGACCCAAGATGTTAACTCTATTCTTTTTTCTTCACAGGTGCTGCCAGCCCTGCTGAGCTTCCAGCAACTTCTGTTTTTGTTGTAAAATCAGAGGCACAGAGGCTAACTTTAATTTCCATCAAACTGAATGAGATCAGTTTAGCACTGTGTCACATCAACAGCAATTTCTAAAATAAAGCATCATGATAACCCAGTACCGAAATGCAAGTCTTAGGGTTTGTTATGATGGTATTAATTTTGGATCAGGAATTTAGTTACCTGTCTGTAGCCCTACATTTCAACTTTAATTTGGTCAAAGTATTGACTCCAGTTTGGTTACCCTACTGATTAAGGGCTCTTCCTATAGGCAACGTAATGATACTGATATAGATTATGCTCTACTTAACTTTATGCCAAAGGACTAACACAACTCATGAACAACATAGCATGAAGTGAATAATAAAGATCTCCTTCATCCTCAATACTTAACTGACATAACATTTATGTGAGGTACTCAGTACGAAAACAGGGAAGAACTGTTACTATGAGATGTATAGGCTTGTGATTAAGATTTTTGTGGGATGATTCCTTAAAATTTATTTTTTGGAACTATATTCATTGATAACCTTAGTCGTACAACTAGTTATATGAGTGACATTTTGCAATGCCAAAACCAATTTCTCTTGAAAAGGTGAAATTTTAAATATGGAGCACAATTGCATAATGTTGGATGCAAACTCAAAAGTTAGTAAACAGCTAAATGTTAAGTAGGTTACAGGAATAGCTGCACCTTCAATTCTCAAATTTAACAAAGTTTAAAGCTTGAAATTGAGACAAAATGTGTTGCTCAACTGCATAAAAATGTTTTATTTTGCATTCAATATTCTCTCTTTGCAACACATTTAAGAATATTGCTTTAAATTTGAAAGGACAATGTAGCAAAGGGTCTAGATGTTAAGAATATCCATGTTACAAAAGGAGGCTAGTCTAAGCCACTTCATCAATGACCCATGTACCACCTACAGAATGAGACATGCAACACTAAATAGGTGAAATGGTAATATTTCTTAAAAAGGCAAATTAAGTGCATCTAAAATGACATTTTCCCATTTGAAAACAATTTTGCATCTGTACAATATTAACACAGGCCTTAAGTATATATTATTACATCTTACCCCTATAGGACATCAAAAGTCGTTTCTTCATATTTCCTAAATGGAAATGAAGTTATGGAAGGTATTTAGTGTTAGTTGCAGCATACACACTTCATCACAAAGCTGCTCATTTTATATAACAACTGCAAACTCCAAATAATCATAAGTCTTTACTCCCAGCAAGAAAGTATTTCTAAAATAGAAGCTGCTCATTGCACTTATGGCAATGTATGTATAAAATTAATTTGCAGTCATGGACTTGCTTCAATACACAGCTACCCAAAAGTCTTCTAATCGAGCTCCCAATTTTGATTTGCCACAAACAAGAATGAATTCTAGCGGCCCCCGATGTTCTAGCTGAGGTTGATTAAATTAGCACAGGCCAAGAATTGAACCTGCAACCTTAAAAATGACTATGAATAAAATCAATTATCTGATTACATATGATTTTCAGGCAAACTGTAGCCACGTGTGCACTTTGCAGTTTTCAGTAGAACGTAGCTACAACACAGATCTAGTAAAGAGTTTATAAAACAGTGGTGCTGCAAATCTCAGCCCAGTCTTGTGTAAGTTCAGTCAAGATCTAGTCTCACACTCCAGTTTCCATACGTCTTGGTGGGGAATGGGCCTCCAACCACTCTAAGCACACTCATTGACAAAAAAAAGGGTTGGACTATGGGATCCTTATATGAGGAGAGAGGCTTCTACATCTGGTGAAAACAGATAGTGATCAATTCTATGACGGAAGTGAGGTCCACTTAGGCACTTCACCAGGACTTTCCAGCATGTGATACTCTGACCTTGAAATTACAAACAAACTTTTTAAAAGTAATTACACGTGCTGTTAGGGAGGTTTTAAACTAATTTGGCAAGGGGATGGCCAAGGAATAGATGTTGGAAGCAAGGTTCAGTCAGATGTAGAAGGAATACCAAGACAGTCCAGCAGGCAGAGAAGACATGGGCACATGGAAGGTCCAGAAAGCTAAACTGTATCTACTTTAATGCAGTGGGCTTGAATGGTAAGGCGGATGAACTTGGTGCATTGATCAGCACATGGGAAGATGGTACTGATGCAATCACAGATATGATTGAATGAAGGGTGGGACTAGCAGCTCAACATTCCAGTACATAGAGGCTTCAGGCGTGATGGGGAGAGAAGTGTGAGAAGTGGGAGCATTTTATTATTGATAATGGAGACAATCACTGCAGTAACGTGGGAGGATGTTTTAGAAGGATTTCAAAATGAGGCCATCTGGGTAGAGCTTAGAAACAAAAAAAAAGGGGCGATCACTTTGCTGGGATTATACTACTGGCTTCCTAACAGTCAGATAGAAATAGAGGAGTAGATATGTAGGTAAATCACAGGAAGGTGTGAGAGAAACAGGGTTATAGTTGGAGATTTCAACTTTGGTAACATTAAGTTAAGGGCTCGCCTTAGTGTGAAAAGTTCAGATGGAGCGGAATTTTTAAAGTGCATCCAGGAAAGATTTTTGTACCAGTACGCAGAATGTCTTACTAGAGATAGGGCAGTGCTAGACCTAATATTATGGAATGAAGCCAGTCAAGTGGTTGAAGTGTCAGTGGGCAATTATTTTGGAGAAGATGTATTTCTCCAATAACGTGATAGTTGCATTCTTGTGTGACCGCACGCTATAGAAAATTGCGTTATGGGGAAATTGCTATAGAAAATCGCTATACCTGTACAGTAGAAAGTTTATGTTATCCAAACAGCGCCAACTATTCATCAATCGTGTTACAGCCAACTTGCATTAACAAAACAAGTGTTCTCGCAGCAATACCTGTAGTGACCATAACTCTGTTTCAAAGTCATGATGTGGAGTTGCCAGTGTTGAGTGGGGTGGACAAGGTCAGGAGTCACATGGCACCACGTTATAGTCCAACAGGTTTATTTGAAATCATAAAATTTTTGGAGCATTGTTCCTTCATCAGTTGAAGTTGTTTCAAACAGTTTCAAAGTCATCATACAAAGGGATAAGGATAGTGCAGGTGTTAAGAGTCTAAACTGGGGGAAGGCCAATTTCAATCTCATTAGACAGAATCTGGCAAGCACAGACAGAGAACAGCGACTTGCAGGTAAGTTTACATTCAGAAAGTTGGCATCTTTTAAAAGTAGTTTAGTGAGAGTTCACAGGCAGCATGTTCCTCTAAGAGTGAAGGGAATGTCAGCTAGTTCAGGGAACTTTGGATATCAAGGAATATTGAGAGATTGATAAAGAAAAGCAAGGAAGCATATGTTAGGTAACGAGCATTAAAACAGGGGAGGCCCTTCAAGAGCACAGTGTGTATGGGGGTGTGCTTAAAAAAAAAACTAATTAGGAGGGGCCACAAAATGTCTTTGGCACATAGCATTAAGGACAACCCGAAGGCATTTTATAAGAACACTAACAGTAAGAGGGTGACCAGGGAAAGAGTGCGGTCTATTAGAGACCAAAGGGACAATTTGTGCCTGGAGCCAGAGAACATGGGTGATGTTTCAAGTTAATATTTCTAATCTGTATTCACAGATGAAAGGGCAATATAGCTGAAGATTTTGGTTGGGATGGCAAGGTTCTAAAGCAGGTAAAGATTAATAAGGAAGAAGTATTGGATGCTTTGACGGGCATAAAGTTGTATAAATCTCCAGGGCCTAATGAGATGTATTTCAGACTGCTATGGGAGGCAAGGGAGGAGATTGCTGGGGCCCTGACAGAGATATTTAATATTTGGCTGGCCACAGGTAAAGTGCTGGATGACTGGAGGATTGCTAATGTGGTCCCTTTGTTCAAGAAGGGCAGCAGGGGTAGGCCAAATAACCACAGACCAGTTATTCTGACGCCAGTGGTAGGGAAATGATCGAAAAAAATTCTGAGTGACAAGATGAATCAACACTTGGAAAGGCAGGGGTTGTTTAGGGATAGTCAGCATGGATTGATTGGAGGGAGATCCTGTCTGACTAATTTGTTTTTTTTGGAAAGGTGACTAAATATACTGATGAGGGTAGTGCAGTTGATGTGGTTTATATGGACTTCAGTCACACCTTTGACAAGATGCCACATGGTCCAGAAGATAAGAGTCTGTGGGATCCAAGGCAAGATGGCAAACTGGATCCAAAACTGGCTTGCAAACAGGAGGCAAACGGTGATGGTGGAGGGTTGTTTCTGTGATTGGAAGCCTATGACTAGCGATGTACCACAGGGATCAATGGTATTTGTTATGTACTTTAACAGTATAAAGTCATAGAGTTATACAGCACTGAAACTAACCCTTCGGTCCAACATGTCTATGCCGATCAGATATCCTAAACTGATCTAGTCCCATTTGCCAGTATTTGGCCCATATCCCTCAGAACCCTTCCTATTCATGTACCCATCCAGATCCTTTTCAATGTTGTAATTGTAGTCGCCTCCACCACTTTGTCTGGCAGCTCGCTCCATGCATGCACCACCCTCTGTGTGAAAAGGTTACCCCTCAGGTCCATTTTAAATCTTCCCCCTCTCACTTTAAGCCTATGCCCTCTAGTTTTGGAAGGGTCTAGACCCGAAACGTCAGCTTTCCGGCTCCTCTGATGCTGCTTGGCCTGCTGTATTCATCCAGCTCTACACCTTGTTATATCAGATTTACCAGGATGTTGCCTGGGATGGAAAGTTTCAGTTATGGGGACAGACTGGACACGCTGGAGCAGAAGCAAGCTGAAGGGTTAAAATAGAGGTATACAAAATTACACGAGGCATATTAAAGGTAGATCGTGAGGTGATCTGAAGAAAAACGTTTTCACTCAGAGGGTGGCAGAAGTATGGAACTTGCTGTTTGAGAGGGTGGTGGAGGCAGGTTTTCTTGCAACATTTAAGAAGGACTTAAAATATCAGATGGCTATGGAGCCAGTGCAGGTAAATGGGAATAGTTTGGCGTTTGTTGGTCAGCATAGACAGTAGGTCGATGGACCTGCTTCTATGCTGTATGACTATGAAAAATCTGATGCTATCCTTTTTTCCAACTTCAGAACGTACTTTATGGAAACCTTGGATGGACTTGAACAAATATACTTGGGAGTCTGTCAGAGTCAATTAGCCAGATATACCCATCGTTTCCCATGCAAACTACAGTAGTTTAACTGTATTACAGTAGTTTGGGGTGGCACAGTGGCTCAGTGGTTAGCACTGCTGCCTCACAGCGCTAGGGATCTGGATTCAATTCCACCCTCGGGCGTCTGTCTGTGTGAAGTTTGCACATTCTCCCCGTGTCTGCGTGGGTTCCCTCCAGGTGCTCCGGTTTCCTCCCACAGTCCAAAAACGTGCAGGTTAGGTGGATTGGCCATGCTAAATTGCCCGTAGTGTTCAGGGATGTGTAGATTAGGGGGATGGGTCTGGGTGGGATGTTCTGAGTGTCAGTGTGGACTTGTTGGGCCGAAGGGCCTGTTTCCACACTGTAGGGATTCTAATAAGTCTAGAAGTGCACCTTTTCTTTTAAAGACGCTTGTACCCTTAAATTCGCTAATATCTGGCCTTTACTGCACTGTCAGTCAGTTTTGTCTTTATCATCTATTACACCTAACCAATACAGATGTCACCAAGTCATCTTTTTCTAATCTATCTGCTTCTGTCACTAATTTTTCAGCTGACCTATTATTTTACATCCAATCAGCCAGCTTCCTTTAATGGGTTCTATTATATGCAATGCACTTTGTTTGAAGGATTGCAATGTTATCATGTTACTCCACATTGGTCTGTATAAGATCATAACAAATAGGAGCAAGTAGTAGGACAACTGGCCAAATGAGCCTGCTCCACCTGACTGCGGCTCGACTCCACTTTCCTGCTTGCACCCCTACCGACTCCCCTCCGAAAGAAAATCCTCAACTCCTTTGTAGTTCATAAAATCAATCCAATTCAGCTTTGAATATATTCAATGATCCGGTCTCCACTGTGGAAGATTCCAAAGATATTTAAAAGAAGAAATTCCTCCTCATCTCCACCTTGAATGTGAGGCCCTTATTTTGTAAAGTGTGCAGCTGAGTAGACTTCCAAGGAAAGCTTAAGTTAACTGTCTCGCTGTTGGGTTGATACAATCTACCCCAAGTGCCTGAAAAATGAGCAATTTGTACTATATAACTTATCAAAGCAGTCAACCTTAATTTTTCTATAAAACCAGTTTGTACAAGGTGACTTTCAGGGCATTCAAATTACTCTGTATGCTTTAATGGGAAGATCTTCCACTATTCAGCACAATACTCAATTGAATTTTCATGAAAAGTATAGTATAAAAGGCCAATAGCTGAACTTATTTGCTAAAGACTGAGACTCAAAAGTAATCCAGCAGACTAATTTCCATAATTGCAATATTACATGAAACTCTTGAACCATAGCAAGAAAATATTTTCGATTATTCTAAGCTACAGAAAAAATGATGCCCAATAAATAAAGCACTGAAATCACAATGGCAAGTACAAACCTTAGGTTTGACTGACAGTCAAATTACCAGTCTTTTGAGTTAACCCTCTACTAATTTTGAACCCTATTACATACCTCCTGACACAGGTCTACGCAATGTAAAACTGCATAACATAAAACATATAATCCTCCCTACTAAAAAACACAAAAGTTGTGACAATGGGGCTCTATAGAAATTAAATAAGTAAGGCACTGAACATAATATTAGCAATTATTACACACTTAAACTTGACTGTTAAACTAACCATGCACACCGTTGTGCAGGCTGTAACTTTGGTTTCCTAGAATTGTTGGAGAACCATGGTTTTGAATTGCAAATAGTCGCTTTGATGATTGACTGAAGTTCCCTGAAGTGAGGCTTGACACTCGTCTGAATACCTCTGGCTTTACAGCAGGATGCACTTCTGCATATTGACAAAAGGTTAACAGGCAATTAGATAATCAAGACAAGTGGAAGAAAGAGCAGACAAGTAAAAAAAATTTTGACATTATTCATTAATTAATTGGTTACTTGGTTACCGTTGCAAGGTTTTAATGACACAGAAGAAGTGTCCTATGTGGTTTCCATAAGAACGCAAGAAATATAAAATCATGCACAATCATGGACTGCCTCAATAACTGCTAACTTTCAAGCTCCACTCCTGGGATGATACTCCCCTGCATTCTTCAAAACTGCACACAGTGCATATAGTGAGCTTCATCGAGCCAATAGTGTCCTGGGTTTTGTTATCTGAGTTCTAAACTGGCACAGTTACACCAAACAAATACTGTTCATCAGCCTTCACCCAAGACTATCTGCTGCACTGAACTGCTTAGCGTGCACCGGCTTCATTCAAGCCTCTCACAGCCCCTCGGGCTTCCCTGAGCACCCCACTATGCAAAGCTATTCAACTGCTCTATGACTTCCGTGAACCTCAACTGCACAGAACATATGCAGTGCATTTGCCTTTCGTAGCACAGCTAACACCAGCCCTGCCTAACATGATCTCTGCTCTCTCACATACTATCTTTCAGTTACAACGCTTATCAACTTTGTCAATTCCTTTTCAGTGACTCTTAAACTAACTTTCGACTCTATTCTCTTCCCCCTTGGTCCAGGCACTCCCCACCTACCTCTGGGACACAAACCACGCCCTCCATCTCTTCAGAAACTTCCAGTTCTCTGGCCACCAGCACTTCATCTTTACTATGGACGTTCAATCCCTATACACATCCATACCACACAAGGACGGCCTGTAGGCCCTCAGTTTTTTCCTCTCCATTCAATCCAGACCTCCCCACCAATACTCTCCTCTGCCTTGCTGAACTAGTCATCACCCTCGATAACTTTTCCTTCAATTCTTCCCACTATCTCCAAATCCAGGGGGTTGCCTGGACACTCACATCGGCCCCAGCTACACCTGTCGTTTTGTCGGTAATGTTGAATAGTCCCTCTTCAGTACATACACCGGTACTGTTCCCCAACTCTTCCACCATTACATCAATGACTGCATTGGTGCTCATCCTGCACCCAGGCTGAACAGGAGCAGTTCATCGACTTCGCCAACAACTTCCACCCCGTCCTCAAATTCACTTGGTCTATCTCATACACCTCCCTCCCCTTTATGACCTCTCTGTTTCCAGTTCTAGCGACAGTTTACAGACTGACATTTACTGTAAATCCACAGACTCCCATAGCTACCTAGACTGCACTTCCTCCCATCTTGCATCCTGCAAAAACTCTATCCCGTTTTCCCAATTCCTCTGTCTCCGTCGCATCTGCTCTTACAAGGAGACATTCCACTCCCAAGCATCTCAGATGTCCTCCTTTTTCAAACAATGTTCTTTTCCCCCTCTTCTGTCATCCAGACAGCCCTCCACCGCACCTCCTCCATTCCCCACTCCACAGCTCTAAACCACAACACCACCCCGCTACAAACTTAATAAAGATAGGGTCCCCCTTGTCCTCACTTTCCACCCCACCAGCCTCTGCATCCAACGTTTCACCCTCAAACACTTGTGCTAACTCCAATTAGACCCCACCACCCAGAACATCTTCCACTCCCCACTCCTCTTTGCCTTCTGAAAGGACCATTCCCTTTGCCCCCCCCTAGTTTGCGCCACACTCCCCACCAACCACTCCAACCCCCACGTTACCTTCCCCCGTAACCATAAAAGATGCAACACCTGCCCATACACCACCTCCCTCACCTCCATTCAGGGCCCTAAACAGTCCTTCCAGGTGAGACAGAGCTTCACCTGCATCTCCTCCAACCTAGTCCACTGCATCCAGTGGTCCTGATGTGGTCTTCCCTACAGTGAGACCAAACGTAGACTAGGTGACTGTTTGGCCAAGCAGCTTCACCTGGCTCGTAATGGCCAGCCTAACCTCCCAGTCACCGCCCATTTCAACTCTCCCCCACCCGCCCCCCCAACTCCTCTTCCGACACATCCGTCCTCAGCCTCCTCCAGTGTCGCAATTCAGAATGTAAATTTGAGGAACAACACTTTATCTTCTGCCTGGGCACCCTACAGGCTGGAGGATTCAAAATTGAGCTCTCCAATTTCAAATAACCTTCCCACCCATCTCCTGGCTCCCTTTCCAGCCCGGCTTCCTCTCCTCCATTCTTCCTACTGACCCTCCCTTCCAGCTGCCAACTGAATTCATCCCTCCCATCGACCTACCAGGTGTTACCTACTACTATCAGCACCATTCCACTACCCCCCTTCTCCCCCACACCTTTATCTGCAGCTTCCCCTACCCCCACATCTAGTCCTGAAGTATAACACCCAAAACGCTGACTTCTCCTTTCCTTCAGATACTGCCTGGCTTGCTGTGTTGTTCCAGCCTCCTATTTGTCTACCTTTGAAACCCTTGTATTGGTCCCATTCCTACTGTTAGGCAAACTCAGATGTAACTGATATTTTGAGGTAATCAAATGCAACAAAACTTTAGATATCACAATTTCACAGAATGCTGGCTTACAGCACAAATTGCATACAACAAAACTGGTTTTCATTACATAATATCATTATATGCTCTAAGGTGACGCGGCTTATTCTCTATTGTACGGTAGTCTACAGAACAAAAATCCATTTATTTATTTTTTATAGTCACAATGCTTCAAGGACATAAAATTTAGTAGAATTTATCTAATCTAAATTCATATCACATTAGGTCAAAGCAAACTCTTGTTTGCAACAGTCATCATTAAACAAGAGTGTTTTCAATGTTAAAAAAAATGGATCAAAAATTAATAGCATGCAAGTTGTGTTAGGACATGTTCTCTCATCTATCGAGAGTTATGGGGAGTATATATCCCAATTCCTCTGACATTTTTGTAATTCTAATCTTATTTAATATCAGCCTTCACATAAACTCTCTCAGCCACACCACAGGTCAACCAGCAACCTTACCAGTTCTGAAGTACCTACATAGGGCAAAGCAATTTATGACCGTTTCATTCTTTCTCTTAACACCTACAACTTTTCTACAATCTCCCTAAGGAAGCAAAACTCATTTTTTTGTTCCAACATCCACTTAAGGATCAACTTGGCTCAGTTGGTAGCACTACTGTGCAAGTTAGAATACTCAACTTTCACTACTCAACATTTAATTCAGTTATATTCTTATCTATCTGGTAGTCATCAAAAGATCATCTGCAATGGTTGTCTTTCCTGCAGCCACATGTCTGACACCAGTGTCCAAAAAGAATCAATACATCCCCTTCTCACATCTACCACTTATCTATATCCTGCACTTTGGTGACATACTTTGAAAACCTAGAGCTGGAATTACAGGTGTTGTACTGCCCACCATCCCTCAACCTAACATTTGGCGGTTTCTCCACAGCTATATTAGCTATATAATGTAGACAGCAGCCTTCAATGTTTCAGATGAAATATCTGCCACATCTGGGAGGGGAATGTTTTACCCAGCAAACCTGTAATCCTAGCAGTGCCAGGATTGAGCAAAGAAGAAAACACAAAAGAAAACTGATGAAGACGAGACTTAACAGTAAGTCTAGGATTTTGGGCAGGCTTGACTGGCAGATACCAGTGAATTTGGGGTTGTTGGTGGGTGAAGGTCGGGGGGGGGGGGGGAAGAATTTCACGAGGCGGGGGATAGAAGGGTTAACTCCACTGCCGGCTGCACACTGCCAGGCTGTCTGTCTAGCCTTCAGTTTTCCATACCACACAGAAGGGCAGAGATAGAATAAGGTCTTTAGATAGTTACTTAATGGCCTCAAGGTCGGCAGTCTGCCTGACACCATCACCAACTACCATAATATGGGAGACACAAGGGTGGGCAGTCAGAGGAAAGGCCGTTGTTTTATTTTGTGGACCCTATTCCCCCAGCCTTCAGATACGAAAGCAGAAGGCCATACAAATCAGGACCACAGTATGTTTTCACAGGTATGTTGAAACAAAGGTCTACCTCACTACTGCCTCTCTCAACTCCTCCATTGTCTCAGAACTAGATCCAATATTGGATGAGCAGAATTCAGTTAAATGTTGCTCAGAACAGAACCATCTTTTCAGTCCCCACTACAAATCTAAGCAACCAACAGCAACACTCTCCTCGGAACCATTTGAGGCTGAATCAGATTGTTTGCAACCTTGGTGGCACGTCTGGCCCCAGGGCAAACTAAGCACATACATATCTGTGCAATCAATAAGACAGCTTTATTTTGGCCGCTGCCTCAATTCATGTGCTGCCAAAGCTTTGATCCATGTCATTGTTTCCCCTATATGCCAATTCCATCACATTCCTGGCCAGCACCTCTCACTCTGTCCCCATAAACTTAAGATCACTGCTGGCAGTTAGGATGCTCTCCGAATTTCTTCTTTTTTAAACTTGAAAACTTCAATTTGACCACTTGTCATATCTAATTCTAAGAAATACAGCTAATTTTCTTCACAATCTCTCAAATGTATGTTGCCTAAAAACATATTTCCTGTTTTTGTACCTTCTCAAGGGAATACATTTTGAACATACTTACAGTATATAATGAAATCTCTGACAAATGGAGAGCAAATAATAAATAAATAGCCTTGATTTGAAAAGGAATACTTCAATAATCAATGAATCAGTAATATTCCAGAATATAATCCAGGATAGCTGGTCTTGTTATTTTTAACTGTTTGGGTTCTTGTCATGTTTTATTACAGTTTATCCCGAGGTCAATTTCCTGCAAATTATGATGTTGTATTACATGAACATGGGAACAGGAGTAGGCCATCCAGCCTGCCCTGCCATTCTATACAATCATGGGTTTTCTCACCCATCCCCATAATTTTGTACACACTGGTCTATCAATCAATCTATCAATCTCTAATTTGATGTCAAAGACTGAGCCTCCACAGTCCTCTATGGTAGAGAATTCCAAAGGTTCACAAACCTCCGGTAAAATAATTTCTAAATTAAGCTCCCTGAAATTAGATGTACCAACGAGGAACAACACATTAATCTGCATGAATTCTGTCTGTCCCTTTAAGTTATTTTGTAGCTTTCAGTGAGATCACCTCTTATTCTTCAAAACTCAGGAAATACAGGCTCAGTTTGCCTAATCTTACTTTTGTAGGGCAGTCTCCCCAACCAAGTGATCAGTCTAGTGAATCTTTTCTTAAATAAGGAGACCAAAACTGTGCACAGTACTCCAAATGCAATCTAACCAAGCTCTTATACAAACGAAGCAAGACTTCACTACTACTGTACTCAAATCCTCTTGCATTAAAGGCCAAGTTTTGTTAGCCTTCCTAATAGCTTGCAGGACCTGCACGTCAGCCTTCAGTGACTTATGAACAAGGACATCTAGGTCCCTTTGTAAATCTACACCTTCTACCTCTTGCCAATTAAGAAATACTCTGTGTAACCGTTTCTCCTGCCAAAGAGGATAACTTCACATTTTTTCCGCATTATACTCCATCTGACATGCTTTAGCCCATCCACTTAGCTTTATATCATCTGCAATTTTGGAAAAATTACATTTGGTTCACACCTCCAATTCATTGATAGTGAACACCTGGGGCTCAAGCACTCATCCTTGCAGTACCCTACTAGTCACAGCCTGCCAATGTGAAAATGAAACAATTTTCTGTCTTTTAACCCATCATTAATCCATGTCAGTACATTATGTCTTAATCCACTCACCTGAACCTTTCTAACCAGCCTCCTGTGGAAGACTTTATCAAAATCCGTCTGTAAATCTGAATATACTACATCCATTGGCTCTTCTTTATCAATTTCATTGGTCAAAAAATTCTAACACATTCATCGAACACTATTTCCTGTTCAGAAATCCATGCTGATATGCCCATGCAGATCATTATCAAACAGATATCTATTTATCCATTCATTTACAGTAGATTGTAGAAATATCCCGACTACTAATGGAGTGGTAATAACTGTTTCACTAATTTATCAATTATACCAATATATTAAAATGTTCTAAATGGTTGCTTTGCCTGGTGGTGGGGACAGGGGTTCAGGGGAGGGCAGTAGTTAATGACCTTTCAACAAAAGTGCAAAACTATCCCAAACCACAGCAGTGGAATGCTGAAACTTGTGAAAATGAAAATATGCTTAAAAAAAATCTTCTAAAATCCAAAATGGTCTTGCATGCTAAATTATTTTCATAATTGCATACCTGAGAACAATCCATCAGGTTTTAATTTAAATAACCTTTAGTTTCTTTGATGGTATTTGCATTATCATTCAAATTAGATAAGACTTGGTGATACTTCTGTTTGAATTTCTAAAACAGAATTCAAAATAAGCAGCAACTTCTGCACTCACCAAGATACTTGATAATACTTGTTAGAGGCTTCCTCAAAGGAACTTTGATATTCAGTGGTCTTTTCACTGCCTCTGGAAATCTCACTGTACCTGCAGATGAAAGGGGAGACATCTAATGTACATGTATTGGCTACAAGAAGCCTAGATATTTTAGACAGTACCCTTCAAAGGAAACCTCTAGAACTTCCTATCCATTTCTCAAATTTATACAATATTTAAAT